GCAGATGAAAAGGAGACACACCACAGCCCTGAGTGGGTGTGCGGCAGGAATAGGAACAAGGTCTCTTCTTCATTTGCCCCAGGGTGTCGCCATGCTCCCTGTCTGGCTTGCAGACTATATCGTTTTTCTATTTCTTTTCCTTCAGAAATGACTCACAAATGCTATCTTATTTTACCCTACAAAAATTGCTTTCCATAAAACCAGAGGGGAGGAAAAAAAAAGTGCTAGGAGCCATATGATAAACATGACACATCTGTTTGTAATAAATGAAGAAGTGTAATAAAACCTTTACTGTGCGGGTGTAGCCAGTCTTATCCCGAAGAAAACTTGTATCCATCTGGTCCCAAGAGAGCTGGTTTTCACATGAAGGGTTGTTTGTTGGTTGGGTGATTGGAGAGTGGGAGTGGAGAACAGGGGGAAGTTGTTAGAGCCAACACTTATCGTTAAGTGGAGTTAGTTTCTAAAAATGTAGCATGCAGAAACTGGTGAGTAATCCTCCTTCACAGTGCAATATTATGTCACCAGAATTGCTGAGCCAATGCACAGTAAAATTAATCCTCCATTCTGCAAATGCTGGTGATCTGGCAATCACAGATGTGCTGAAATAGAACTGCTCGTGCCAGGCAGCGCTACGAGCCACAGGTCCAGCCAGTTGTCGAACTTCCGCTCCGTGTCTCACTCCAGACCTGCACTATCTGAAGAGACACGGAGATCGCTGGAGACTCACGGCAGACTTTCCAATGCTATTTTCCGCCTTTCCCTGCAGTGGTTATTGCCCATGTTGCACAGTATGTTAACATGTACAGCCAACCTGGCTACACACTAAGTATGAAGACAGCGTGGGATGAGGATTGGGCAGGGAAAGTAGAGGCTGGAAAGGGAAAAGAGCTGAGATCTGTGGGCATGTGCACTGCATGGGCTCCTCTAGCTCCAAACCCCCCAATAACCTTGTGACCTTGGTGTCACGCGGAAATTCTAATTCTAGACGCAAGGAAACTGCTTGATCAGCACATACGAGCGACAAAGCTTGATTTGAGACCCAAATCTGTGCAACTCTCAAGGTCTTTCTGACACATCAAGCTAATCCAATCACCATTTGTCCATGTTTCAATCTTTCTTTAATGATCCCCATTGATTTCCAGAAAGGATGCGCCAGGTGAAGAGAATTTAGGGTCCGTCTAGTTGATAACTCAGCCCTCTCGATGGCATTCTCAAGCCTGAGTTGCCCTTCACGCACAGGTCCTGCCCACTCTGGCTGTTCACGATGATGAGATAGATCTCAATGGTGACCTTTCCAGTATCTGGTCACGTGCTCGTAGAACCAACTCCAAGCCACAAAACTCCAGTGAAGAGATTCCAATTGGTCAAGCTTGGGTCTAAGCCCTCTTTCAAGGTAGGAAAGGCAGGATTCCTCGGCCGATATAAGGCCACAGGCCGAGAAAAGCTACATCACTGTTACCAAAGAGCCAAAGTAAGAGAGACCCGCTGCAATGGGGCCCATGGATACCTGCCATCATCCTGTCCACGGTTTAAAGTCTCTACCCCTGCCCAGTGGGGATGTGGACCCCAGTGCGGGCAGGGGGTTGTCTGCTTTTTCTCTGTACATGGAGCCTGACACTCAGTGGGGCTCCTAATAGCTGTTATGGGAAAGGACCAGGGAAGATCTAGACGTTGCCTGACGTCTCATCATGAGGAGCTAAATAAATAGAGCATGGTGCTCACTGAAAATCAAGTGACCAGGACCAGCAGATGGTGTAGTGGTTATATTATTGGGTTCCCACATGGCCAAGCATGATTCAAGTCCTGGACTCGTTGGCTTGAAACTCACGCCAGGTGCATGGGTGTGCATGCCCAAGACCCCATGAAGAGAATGGAGGAGAAGGGATTGTGATGTGGTCGTTCCCCCCAATGGGTGATTTCTCACTTTCCCTCTCACTGGGTCTGTCTCTGTCTCTCTCTCTGGTGAGTGCACATGTCCTAAGGCAAAAACCACTTTAAAACAAAACAAAAAATAAAAACAGGTGACTGAAAGAGTCCCCATTAATACCACTCTTCTCTCGTTTGAGTCTCAAGATTGAACGTGAACCCTGGCAGGCCCAACAGCAAGGAGGAGATCACCCAACTGTAGCTTTACCATTCACAAAGGCTTCCCCACATCGTCATGCTTGAGTGGCTAATCACCCGTCCTTATGTCACTGGAAGTCATTGAACAGCAATGCTTTTTCATAGCTCAAGGATATTAGCTAGCACATATGACACTGCATCGCCACACCACGCATTTATGACTGCTTTAGGTCGCACCTGGACGTCACAGATGAAAGTCTCTCTTGATTAGGAGGGTGACACTTTTTTTAAGATGAAAATCAGAAATAGGGGATGTATCCTACCTCATTTTTACCAACACCCTTCCCCTTCCAATGCCATTTTTGTATTCCCTCCTATTGCCCTTCTCCGAAGCTCTTGTTCAAGGCGAATGTTTGTATGATTTCCCGCCACACTCCTCCAGCACCCAGCAAGTGGCGGGCACAGGGCTGGGCCTCAGTAACAGCTCTGTTACTCTTACTGACTAAATGCGTTCCTGTGCTTTTCTTTAAATTCATTTCAGTTCAAAGCAACTAATGGTTGAACGCTAGCTCTGTGGCAGGCAGGGCACTTCCGAGAACCTAATGGGAACATGAGCTTAATGCTCTTGTTAACCCATCTGTGTGCGTGTGTGCGTGTGTGTGTGTGTGCGTGTGTGTTCCTCAAAGTCTCATTATCAAACCTACAGTGAAGAAACAATAGTAAGGAAGACAAGTTGTTTAGTAGAGTCACTTAACTAGCTTGGCAGCTCCTAGTCAGTGCCATTTGTAAGTGGCTTCTCAGACACAAGGCCACGATGGCTTTAGTGGACCCCAGGTATTTTGTCATCACCCCTTCTGACAGAGGTGATTTTAAAAGATGTACTTCAGGGCCAGCAGGTGGCGTGGTGGTGAAAGGTGCTGGACTCCCACATGGCCAGCCATGGTTTGAGTCTCAGCCCTGGCAGCTTTGCTTTCTCACTCTCTTGTCTCTCTGTCTCTCTCTGGTTAAATTAAAAACAAACAGTAATGATGATAATAAATGAAATGAAATAAAATAATTCTTCCCATGTAGCCGACTATGGTTGGAGTCCCGGACCCGGTGGCTTAAACTGACGCCTGGCACGTGTGCGTGCATGCCCAAGATTCCGAGAGGAGAATGGAGACGGGATTGTAGCGTGGCCATCCCCCAAGGGGAGTGATTTCTCACTTTTTGTCTCTCTGTCTCTCTCTGTCTGTCTGGCAAGCGCATGTGCTTTATAGCGAAAACCTCTCCAAAAAACAAAACCATTAAAGGCCTTGTGGGTATCCTCGGCAGCTGCTTACTGTGGCGAATGGATGAGTCGCCCCTGCTCTGGAGGCTGCTGGAACGGGACTTCCCCAGAGCAGGTTCTCCTGTTTTCCAGATGGGCTGAAGTTTCGGAGAGGAGCTGATCCAGGCTTTCTGCTGGGATCCTAACTCCGGGGAGAGACCGCTCGTTTCTGGCCTGGCCTGGAATACGCTGAGACCTGGGGGGAAGCCCTACCTGCATGAACCGGCTGAGTTCTGCATCACGCTGACTCTACCTTGTCTGCTGCTAAGCCGGGGCCGATTCCGCCTCCCCAGCGCTACAGAGCCCTCCTCTTGTTTATGTAAAGACCCCAATTAAGCCAGAAATAGAATTTAGCACTGCCAACATTGTTTGGAAAATGTTAACACATTCAGGCCGGTGCCCCTGTCCATTATTCTCTGCTGAAACCTGATATTAGTAACAGCATGTACCGAGGATCTGGACCATGAATTAATAATGAAGCCCTTGTACTGGAAAATATGCGAGCACCTAGTTACTTTATTCGGCAGACACCCGTGGGGACAGGCGTGTGCCCCTCTTACACAGCAGTTCAGTGGTGGTTTGGCAGAATAAACCAGGAATTGGTTATTTCCAAGGGATTTCCCACGGGAGAAAAAGATACCTGAAAATTCATCAACCGCCCCCGCTTCTCCCAACTCCACGGTCGTAGGCGTAGGGTTCCATGGCAACAGTCCGGCTCGAATCATTTCTTTCCTGAGACACGGACTTCCCTCAAATTCTTGATCCTGTCAATGTTTTTACATAGGTCATTTCAATGGTTTCTTCATCTGCTTTACCCACCCCACTGCAAGACTAAAAACTCCTTGAGGACAAAGAATTACATGGGGGCGAGGCAGGGGAGGGCTTCAAAAGTTCACAGAAAATGCATACGATGAAACAATTATGTATGGATCTCAAAAACGTTTGCAGTACAATAAGTTCATATCTTACCTCCATTTTCAATGAAACCGGAAATGTTCTGAAGTCCCTTCATATCTCTATATAATCTCTAGACAATGTGGGAGAGCAATACAGAACAGAGGTCCCAACTTTGGGGGGGTTTTCTTGGTTTTGGGGGTTTTTTTTCTAAGAGGTTTTTCCCATAGGGCATGTGTGCCAGTCAGAGAGAGAGAGAGACAGAGACAGAGACAGTGAGACAGGAGGTGAGAAATCACCTCCTGGAGAGATGGCCATGCCACAATCCCTTCTCCATTCTCCTCCTGGGGTCTTGGGCACACACACACACATTCCTGGCATTATTTAAAGCCACCAGGTCTGGGACTCAAACCATGGTCAGCCGTGTGGGAGTCCAGTGATGTAACTGCTACATCATCTGCTGGCCCCAAAGGCCCAGAGTAAGTCATCTGTAGGTTGACCCTATCTCGTGGACCGCTGCACAAGAGTTGCGTGGTCTTGAACCAACCATTTAACATTTCTGCCTCTCAGCCTCTCCTTCTGTGAAGGAGGATTGCAGTAACTGCTTCGGAGACGGGTGTAAGGGTTGGGAGTGGAGCCGAGCACCTCCGACAGCAGCCTGGAGTGAGCATCGTCACCCTCGTCATCACCTCCCAACCTCCGCGCTCCTACCACGCAGCGTCCTTGCTAACACGCACTGATGTCTGTGCTATAAAGCATGGCGTGTATTTTCCATGTAATCCTTCGGTCAGGAACAAAGGCCATCTGGTTCGGATTGGTTTCAACAAAACTAATGTTTGCCTTAGTCTCCCCTTCTTCGGTGCATTATTCTCCTTCCTGAAGGCCCCTTTGAATAGCTGATGGGACCAGCAGTTGGCGTAATGGCTATGGCACTGGACTCCCATGTAGTCAACCACGGTTCACATCCCAGACCCAGTGGCTTAAACTCACACCGGGCGCGTGTGCGTGCATGCCCAAGATCCCGAGAGGAGAATGGAGGAGAAGGGATTGCGGCGTGGCCGCCCCCCCTGGGGGGTGGGGGTGATTTCTCGCTTTCTGTCTCTCTGTCTCTTATGTGACTGGCGAGCGCACGTGCCCTATAGCGAAAACCTCTCCAAAAAGAAAAAAAGAAATGAATAGCTGATAACAATTTATCAAGGAGCTTCCAACAAATACAGTGGATTTTACTTCAAGAAGTCTTTAGAACAAATCCTCAGCCAGAAATGGTCCCAGCCTCTGTGGTAGCAGTCAAGAGCAATGGCACCCTGGATGTGAAAATGGGCTCCTGTGCAGAGGTGTCGAGCCTTGGGCTCTGTATGTGTGACAGCCACTTTTAGGATGATTCGGTTCGTTTCTTGCTAGGCAACTCACTCACCTGTCTGTCCCCTAAGCCCCGGCTCTTGTTGCTTCCTGCGCATGTGAAAAATGCCTTTCTCCATCTGCAGAAAGCAAGTGGTTGTTGCGGTGCCGTGCTGCTGAGAAACCTCGACAAGGTGAGAGCCGCACACTCTCCTTTAAGAGGAGCACGGCAGTGCAGCTCCATCGTGCAGCTGCGTCTCGTGGACCTGGCTCTCTTGCTTTTGAGGTTTATGCATTTGGGCAGTAAAGACGATTTTCAACAACAAAGAAGCCCCAAACGCTATTCAAGAACAAACAAACAAACAAAAAGATAAAAGGGACAAGAGAGGGTTAGAATTCTCTCTGCCGAGAAAACCAACTTCGCGATTTTTTTTAGGCTATTACATAACTGAGTGTAGAATATGGCACAGGAAATCGTTTTGCCCATGCACCTGCACCGAAAAACCCACATCAACGAGTTTGCTTTGGCCATCAATCTGCGGGACTAAAAGCTAAGCCTGAAAGCAAAGGTGAAATAAAATACGAAAATTGCACAGCGGCCACAGAAGAGTCAGCTATCCTGAGGCCCCTGCTGAAACCCCATCTTTAGGGTAAAGTTTCAGCCACATTTTGATGTTTTGGTCACCTGACTCGAGGTCTGGAGTCCAATTGGCCTGCAGATGTACAGGCTAAGTAATGATGTAACCAGAGTGTGTGGGAACTGGGATGAGGCAGATACAATTTTCCCAGTCGTTTATTAGACTTGGCTACTAATTCTGCTTGTCCCTTGGTTTGACTGCTGGTTATCAGGAAATCCGAACTACTTGGAGGACATAATGAGTTTATCTATACCTGGGGCAGAATTTAGTCACATCCATGTAAAATTAAACCACAGTGACAGAAAATGGTAACTTGTAAAATTCTATTATTTATATTTTGTAACAGGTATCTTTTAACGTATCTATATTTTGTTCATGTGTACTCTTTTTTTTTTAACTAAACATCCTTTACAATTTTCATGATATCATTTTTATGTTCCCTAAAAACAATAATCCATTAAAATATGTGATGGTTTATCCATGATTTTTCTAATCCTTGCCTTAATCTTACAGCATTTTTGTCTAAACAGAATAAATGTTTATACTCATGTAATTTGTCACTATGGTAACTTTTGGCCTTTAAAATGCTGACGGTGTATCAGAGACAACCCAGAGGAGAAATTATCCTTTGACAAGAATAAGCAGAACCAGTTTGGCAAACTTCAGGTGTAACCAAACATCGCAGGGCAAGGATGCCTAAGGATAAAAAGCATTTGTTGTTCTATCAATGTGACTTTATGTCAAGAAAATGAAAGCATATTCGAGTTGCACGACAGAAAACAGATCCGATGTTGATAGCAATGTTTAAAGGCATTTTTTTCGCTCTAAATTTTCCATACTCCCCATCACCACCAAAGGAAAAACTGAAATAACTTCTAACATGCACTCACTATTGTCTTTCTGCTGTTTGGGCATGAGTTTGTAAAACCTTTTCTGACTCATCGTTCCAAATCTCATGAAACCTTATCAACAGTTTCGCAACGGACCGACAATGTAAGAGCTAGCTAACCTGAATGATATCGACGGGAATTAGAACAAACTCCTCGCGTGAGTTCTAAAATGAATCGATGTTACATTTTCATGGCATGCATACTCTCAGAACGTATTTCACATTTTCAAGACACTTAGTTAGCAAACATGTCTTCAGGAAATAAATCCTTGGAAATCCCTCTTCGTCATTCTCCTTCTTTGGGTGTATCTCATGCTCCACACATTACGCAACAGATATGGTGTCTGACATCCACTTAAACCCGTTGGGAACGCTATCAAACATTAATGGGGATTAGTGTTAGAACTGCTGTAAACGTGGCCAACGACCTGCTGGGAGCCGTGCTCACATTTCCGTATGTTATGCAGTAAGCAGTCATTCAAGAAGCGAGATCGTCAGAGAGGTGGTGTCCGGGCAGTGGGTATCTGGCTGCTGCAAAGCGGGCACACCCTGGATATATTTACTCCGCAACACCAGCACATGCCAGTCCCTACCCAGCTCCAGTCGTTGAGCTTCTCCCCGAGAGACAAGTCAAGTTCAAGACATGCAACCTCACGACAAAACCCTTCTAAAACATAGATAAAAATGATTTAGTTCTTCCAGGTGCACTGTAATTCTTGGCAGAAAAAGTTAATTCCAGGTGTATAATCTCCTAAAAAAAAAAACAAAAAACAAAAAAAAACCTGTTGTCAAAACTGGATCAAACCGTCACGTAAGAAAAATAAAAGAAATAAAAGTTCACCTCTGAACAAAGTACAAGGTATGGCCAGGAGAACTCTCTGCTCCACGCAGAAATTGCAGCATAAAAGTGAAACTCCCCTTTGACTTATGTAAACATTGCTGGGTTTTGGGCAGCGTTTCAAAAGAGGTAGAGCTGAACATGCACGAGCACATAGAGACACGGCATCGTCTTGGTGGGAGGTTTGGGGCGGGGTTCTAGTGCCAAGCCAAACTGTAATACACAGACAAAGGAAGAAAGAAGATGCATTTTATAGCTTACAGACTTATTTCTCCTTTTTTTTTTTTAGGCCGCAGGATGAACCAAATAACTCAATCAACAACAACAAAGCGGAGATGGGTCACCCAGTGGAAAATGCCATAACAGCTCGAGTAACAAGGGGGCCCTGGCAGGAGTGGGAATGTGGGTGGGGGAGTGCGGAATATTCTGGAATATTTAAACTTTGTAATTCAATGCACATGTGCTCGTCGGGTTCTCTCTGAGAGGCCCTTATTTATGGCAGGTTTGTGAACAATGCAGCTGGTACGGAGCGCTGACGCGCCCATGGCCTGTCCGTATTCCATATGTTCAGATGAAATGAACATCACATTCCCTAGGAGTCCGAGCCGCTCTTGAAGTGTTTGCCAGTGCTGCACCCCTTGGGAGTTGTTACCACCGGATTAATATCCTGTGGGTCACTTAATTTAAAAAACCACATTATAGAGGCATTATGTGATTAGATGTACTGCTTTTACAAGCCAGTTGGGGTGTGTACATCGCATCTGGTTCAGAAAGGCTGGCGAGGCTAATTTGGAGACCTCCAACCTGGAGTCTCGCAGAGGCCAATGACTGTACAGACACGTGAACGAGCAGCGGAAGAGGGATCCTCCATCCACTATCAGAAACTGCCTTGAAAACAGGATCTGAAAGAACTTGCTTAGTCAGAAGCAGGCCTGAACAGCTGGCAGGAACTGGCTGCGTCAGAGGGTGCAGGGAGGTGCTGTTGCGGCCCCTCGGGCCTGCTCGTCTCCGATGCTCGGCGTAAATCGAGCGCCTCACAACTTCCACTCTGTGCTATCAAACCAAGTTTACCAGCCGAGAGCATCGTTCGTGGGAACTGAAAACAGGCTCTTTATTCTCCCTGGTAAACGTCAAATCTGTGCCGTTGGGAGCCCACCCACAACAAGGACGACCAGAGCAACTTGCCAGCACCTCCCAGGACGCCTCAGAATAGGGCAGCCAGCGTCTCCTGCAGGAGTTTGCCGCGGCATCAGGTGCAGTAGCTCCCGGCAACACAGAAGCATCAATCGCCACGTACGGGCCACTAGTTTTTCTTTAAAGAACGATTTACTAAGTTTTATTTATCATCATTATTATTATTTGTTGGTTCGGTACAGGTACTCTCCTGGGGAAAGGGTGGGGTTGTGGAGTGAGAAAGCAAATTGTCAGGTCCGGGACTCGACCTATCGTCAGCCATGTGGGCGTCCGGCACCTTCACCACCACGTCGCCTTATGGCCCCTATAGTCCACTACTGATGACCTGGCAGGAGATAATCGCTTAGCTTTCTCCAGGCAAGACCCAAAGTGGCCTCAGCCTCTATCCGCGGGCAGGGAAGAAAGCGCGAGGGCATGCAGGTGGGCCCTTGTCACAAGGAGGGCCTCTGAACAGGGAGGCTGTGGGTATCTGTGGGTACTGTGCTGATATCGCCAACCAAATTAAAAGGATGTTTTCCTTCATTACAAGTCTGTAAGTCGCTTGCCTTTTTAACTGCTCCAGACTTTTACGAAGACTGCAGACAAACACTCGCTTTAAAAGTCAAGTTAGGACCAGATGAGGGTGTCATGACAACGTTCCAGGCTAGGCAAGGCTGCGTGTGGAAAGGCCGGGGCTCTTAGCCGCCTCGAGTAAGCCGGGCACATACATGCCACGACCCGGGGCTGGTGCAGGCTGGGGCGGCCAGAGCCTGGGGATTTTGTCGAGGAAGCCCTGTGTCTCGTTTGTGGAAGAAATACGTAATATAAACTTTACAGTGGCCAATGGTTCCATCCCTCGGACTGTCAGTGGGCGTGCTCTGGGAAAGTTCTTTACTCAGACACAAACTGCAACGATCAATTGTGAGTTACATTTCCCGATGTCGAGGAAAATCGACTAGGAGTCTGGACTATCGGAGGTGAGTCGGGCAGTAGAAAGAGTGCCCTCTGGGTTCGCCCTAACAGAACACTTCCTGGCAGCCCCCCTGAATTGACAGCCAAGTTCTTACTCCTTTAGGAGAATGAGGTGTTCGAGAAGAGGGACAGTGCCTCGGGCTGCTTTTGAAGCCCTGCTGTTAGGCTCAAACTTCAGGGTCATGCGTCCTTTCCAGCCATGACCATCCTGGCTCGGCGATTACTTCTGCTTGAACCTGATGCAACAGGAAGAACTTGGCGGTGCAGGAGGAGGGCGGGAGATGAGTCACTCTACATCCTGCTCTGCCACTTGCCGCATTGCTGAAACTCGGATTCCCAAACGCAAGAGGACATACGAATCTTTGCTCTGTCATGTTACAAAGTACTATTAATAATTCCAAGAAGTACTAATAATCCCCAGGAGATGAATAATTACTGAGGCAATTTCCATTTTCTTGCACTATACCTTTTTTTAAAATATTATTTATTTAACCTTATTTATTATTATTATTTTTAATTTGACCAGAGAGAGAGAGAGAGAGAGAAAGTGAGAAAGCAAGCTGCCAGGTCCAGGACTCGAACTGTAGTTGGCCATGTGGGAGTCCAGCACCTTAACCGCCATGCCACCTGCCGGCCCCATTGCATCTTTTTTAGAAACAGTCTCACCACGTTGTGACCTTCCTGCCTCAGCCTCCCAGCGAGGCCTGCAGGCATGCACCACCACGCCTGGCTCTTTTTCTCAGACAGGATGCTGCTGTGTTGCCCAGGATAGCTACAAACTCATAAACCTTGCACCTCAGGGCTTGCGCATGCTCACCTTTAAACAGGTCACCAATGAGCACTCCCAATTTGTACTGACCTCGGCACTGGGCATTGCTCCAAACGGCACCAATCTGAGTGGGTCGCAAGGCTGCGAAGTCGTGTTGTCTCACTAGCCAAGTGCTCAAGGGTACTGGGAAGAATCAAGTGAGCTCCTGGCCACTAAATGCCTTCGACACTAGAAAGCCCTGCAGCAGATCCAGGCCGGAGGGCATTCGGGGACCATGCCTGCGAGGGTGTGAGGAGAGGAAGCACGCGTGGGAGGGCTACACGCTTACGTAACTAGGGCTAAGTCGCTGCCATCCGGGAACCCTGACACCTCGGGACGCCCAGGGCTGAGCTACTGTAAGGAAAGCTCATGAGCAAGTTGATCTAAAATAAGCTCGTTTCACGTACAGACTGTGCCCTTTTCCAAAGAAAAGCTGTGGCTCTCATCTGCCTGTTTACTGGCACTAGCAGAGGTAGCGAGGGGTCAGTAGCAAGTGCAGAGCCCTTCTGGAAGCTCTCCTCCCCTCCTTTGCCTTCCCGAGTCACCTCCTTCGAATGATGCTGGGAAAGGCCTGGTCACACTCATCTTTAAGCCTTTAGTGCAACTGAGGTCACGTCCGTCCCTGTCCAGTGTCATGGTTTCTTTTCTTTTCTTTTCTTTTTTGAAAGCTTTTTGCTATAGGGTGCATGCGCTCACCAGAAAGAGAGAGACGGAGAGACAGAAAGCGAGAAATCACCCCCCAGGGGGGATGGCCACTCAGCAATCCCTTCTCCCCCATTCTCCTCTCGGGATCTTGGGCACGCAGGCACATAAACCCAGCGTGAGTTTAAACCACCAGGTCGAGGACTGGAACCGTGGTCAACTACATGGGAGTCTAGTGACATAGCCGTTACGCCATCTGCTGGTCCCCCATTGTCGTGGTTTCTATGGAAGGGTGAAATAAACATTTTCCTTGGCATCATGGCCCACGATGTCACTTTTGATCCTCTAGATCTGCCTCAAGTGGCTGCTAGGTGATGAGAGAATGGAAAACAAGTATGTGTAAAATCCGCAGTGAGGACTAAAAGTATGCCTTGAAACTATAGTTTTCCGAGGACGGAGAGCAAAGATTTCATTTTACAATACTAATTGTTTTCCTACCACACAAGTGACCTCCACTGTTAAAACTGTCTTTCTGGGATTCGGTAAATGTCCCGTCTACAGTACTCTCCCACCACTCTCGAATGCAGAGAAAAGCATATTGATTTTTCTGCAAAATTGCAAACCTTTCTTTTACCTTGACACTCTAGAAACCTGTCGTTCAGATCGGACGCTCTGTCCTGCGTGGGTAGCTGACGTGGCCAGCAGAGCTTTCATTAATAACACGCTCAAGGACAAAAGCGCTCCTCTGTACCCCACGTTGGTACTCAGACACACGGAGGAAGGAGGAGAACGCCACCCTCCGAGGAGTGAGCCTTACAGCACTGAGTGGGTGGCTGTCCGGCACCCCGGTTTCAGATCATTTAAGCCTAGAACCAGTGTGCAGGTTACTCTGCAGGTGAAGGGGGACAGGCTGTGCCCGATGTTCTTGACCACCTTCACTACCCTGGTCTAGGATTTCAAGAACACTTGAATCCTCTCAGTTTCCTCCTTTTGTCCATTATATTCCTTATCTGCAATGGGCATTTTCAGTTCTACCAACAGTGTCTATGAGTCTGGCCTTAAATGTCAGGACCTGCCAAGGCTCGCTAATTATCTTAACTCCCCCTGCTGGTGGGATGAACAACCAGCCAAACTCAGGACTCCCTGGAACCCAGTAACTACTGAACATACTTTTCAAGTTCATTCACATCATAAAAGAGGAGGCCAGAAGAAAGAAGAAAACCTGAAAAGAAAACAAAATGTATTTGCATATGTAACTCGCTGTACTGTAAATAAACTGGAGGTTTGATATTATTTTAAACACTAGCCTTTGAGGTTCAATTTGTGAAGCATAAAATAGATACTTTGGTATAATTTTTCCCTTATCCTCTTTTTGTTCCCATACTCTTTCTCATTTCTGTGGCTTGCCATATTTTCCTTTGTCTCTAAGCTCTAGACTTCTACTTAATAAGTACCAATAAAGATTGGATGTTATCCTTAAACAGTGGTAGCATTCCCCACCTGCTAATTGCTTTATTTGTACTTACTGTTTCCGCCCTCTCATCAACAGGGGCTTTAGTATAAAGGGCAATGAAGTAGAACGTGATGAGGGGAACAGGAGCCAGCAGTGAATGCTTCTGTAATTACACAGTAGCCTGGAGTAGCTCTTCTCAAATCAAATTATGAGACTGGATTACCTAAAACTCTCAGGACACAGCCCGAGTTTTCATGCGTCTGTAGGTTACTGTCGACAAGCAACCTTCTTCTCTCTTGCCATTATCCTTCACGGAGATTATCAAAGCTCAGTGCCAACGTAATATTCCCACAGCAGCTCACTGCTGTGGGGAGTGCCACGTTCTTAAACGGCTTGCCTGACCCCATGTGTTTTACCGCTTCGTTTTTTAAACGAAGGAAAGAAAAGGCAACTTTTTTTTCATGTTTATAGCTACCTCTGTCATTTGCATATCAAAGTTTATTCCCAGCTGAGCTGATTCATGATTCTTTGGCAAATATTTATGCCTCGTCGATGCCCCAAGCACCCATAAGGCAACTGGAACAAGAGTCAATAGGTCTCAGTGATGTTTGGGTCCTTGTTTGAACACCTGACTGTCTCCTTGGAAATGTCCACCGCCCTGGAGAGGACACAGTAATAGGAGGCCAGGCCATCTGGAGAGACGCTCAGAGCTGCTGACTTACTGTGGCCCCACACACTCACGTGACTTTCTCATTTTCTCCATCTGAAAGCTAAGGAGATTGAACTGGATAATCTCTAAGATCCCGTGTAGGCCCACAGTTCCGTCCATTCATGGAAACCGTGGATAACACGTACAGGAAACTTGGGATATGTTCAGTTGCGGTCACTAATCAAAGCAAGGTAGCAATCTATTTCTCAAAGGGCTCAACTGTTTATTAAATCAAGATTTGGTGTGTCCAAGATCAGGTCAGAAAAATGAACAAAATGTCATAAGGCTTGGCTGGTGGGTGGTGCTTGGAGAAAGAGAACCGAGGTTGAAGTCTCAACTCTAACCGACGGCAGCGTTGGGTCAGGCCGACACTCCTGACAGGGACGGGTCCTGAACGCTGTTTCCAACATTGATATGACAACTTAAACGAACAGAATATTCAAATCACCATGTTCCTATACGTAATACTCAGTGCATTCTACCTTATTTTCTTAACAGAAAATGGATACTGGTATGAATAATTATAAAACAAATATTCTCTGTTCCATAGTACTCTGTATTGAAAATTTTTCAGTTGCTTTACAAATATTTAAAGTAGGCATGATGATGGGAAAGACTGGTAATATTATGGCCATTAAGAAATTACAAGACAGGGAACCAGCAGTTAGCGTAATGGCTATGTCGCTGGACTCCCACGTAGTCGACTGCGGTTCGCGTTCCAGACCCGGTGGCTTAAAACTCACACTGGGCGCGTGTGCGTGCGTGCTCAAGATCCCGAGAGGAAGACAGAGGAGAAGGGATTGCAGCATGACCATCCCCCTTGGGGGGTGATTTCTCGCTTACTGTCTCTATGTCTCTCTCTGTCTCTCTGGCGAGCGCACACGCCCTATAGCGAAAAACCTCTCCAAAAAAAAAAAGAAGTTACAAGACAGTGGTCAGCACGTGGTGTGGTAGTGAAGGGTGCTGGAGTCTCACATGGCTGACCACAGTTCGAGTCCACCATGTTGAACCAAGATTTTATTTTTATGGCTAATAGCTCAGTGTATAAAGTCATGAGGGGGGAGGGCTGCAGGTGGTATAGTGCTTATGTCCCTGGATTCTCACATGGCCAACGGTGGTTCAAGACACAGACCCGGTGGCTTGAGACTCAGACCTAGCACATATGCATGCATACCCAAGACCCAAGATACCAGGAAAAGGGATTGCGGCATGGCTGTCCCCTCTGTGTGATTTCTCACTTTCCCTTTCATAGTGCCTCTCTCTCTCTCTCTCTCTCTCTCTCTCTCTCTCTCTTTCTCTTTCTCTTTGGTGAGTGCACGCACCCTCAGGCAAAAAAACTCTAAAAAAAATGTCAGATCAGAAAGTCATGCCAAACTAAACTTTACTGGTTGTATTTCCCTTTAAAAAAATAATAAATTCTCCATACTGAAGCTTACATCTTAAACAACTCATTAGCTAAAGATTATAAAATAAACTGAATTTTGAATTGTTTCTATTTGAGAACTAAAGGATTTTGTTAATGATGCAAATTTATTTTCATTTTCTATATTATTTTCCTTCATTTAAAATAATAGGGCCACCATAGCATAGTGGTGAAGGCGTCTAAAATCTCACATGACTGACCACACAGTTTGAGTCCCAGACCCAGAAGCTTGAGAAACACACTGGGCACGTGTGCATGCATGCCCAAAACCTCAAAAGGAGGAGGAGATGGAAAACAGATTGTGGTATGAGCATTCCCCACAAGGAGTGCTTCCTCGCCTTCACCCCACCCTCCCACCCCCGCTCTCTCATGAGTACATACGCCTTCTGGCAAATTTAAAAAAGAGAAAAATTGGGCCCAGCAAGTGGCATGGTGGTTGGGGCGCTGGACTCCCACATGGCTGACTGGGGTTCAAGGCTCAGACCAGGTGGCTTGAAACTCATGCCAGGCACATGTGCATGTGCCCAAAAAGCCGAGAGGACAATGAAGGAGAAGGGACTGTGGCATGGCCATTCCCCCGGGAGGGGTGATTTCTCACTTTCCTTTACCTTATCTCTCTCTCTCTCTCTCTCTCTCTCTCTCTCTTACAAGCTCACACACCCAATCGCAAAAAGAAAGAAAGAAAGAGAGAGAGAGAGCGAGAGGGAGAAAGAAAGGAAGGAAGGATAAGTTCTAGCACCTTCTAAGTACTCCGTAATTATGAAACACAAGCTGTGTCCATAAAATAAACCACCCAGGCCTGTAAGCCATCGGTGGGGGTACCCTTTCTATGTGAAATGGCCACAGTCCCACAGACATGGTTCTTGTCACCCCCTGCTAGCATCCTTCATGAGGTTAGCTGAGATGGATGGGTGAGAGAACAACATTTGCAAGTGCAGTACACACGCAGATGATGGACAGATTTTTAACTCCCAAAGTGCATAAGCTACTAGGGTGTCGGGAAAGTTGTAGTGTCTATTTCTATGTTTTTCTGTGCAAAATGCCTCATGACTTTCCAGACAACCCAATAGGCAACAGGAATTTGACTTCTGGTCTTTCGAATCAAATCTGAGATCCCTGTCCCAGCGTTTTCCTGAAACATCTGCAGACCATTTAAACCCAGTTTACAAACGTAAAAAGTGACAAAAACAATAAGGATTACTGATTTGGCGTTTGGTCTGAATCAATGTATATCATATATATTGTATGATATATAATACAAACGATATGCATGCAGAGTTACATATGTAATTTGTATTTTTACATACAGACACGCATGCAGACGGCACATAAAAGGAAGTGATTCTCACCGATTCCTTGACTTTCAGGTTACTCTGTCTTTTCTTTTTTACTCGTTTTGTAAGCTTATTTCTTTCTTCCGTGAGAGAGAAAGAGAGAGAGAGAAGCACCAGAACTGGGTCTTCCCCTGGGGATGACTTCTCACTTTCCTTCTCTCTCTCTCTTTCTCTCTCCCACCCTGGCAAGCAGACACACCCTAAAGCAAAAACCTCTAAAAGAAAAAAAGTTTTGCAGAGAGGGAGGTCAACAGGTGGTGTGGTGGTTATTAAAGTATTGGACTCACACATGGCTGACCACAGTTTGAATCCACGGCCTGGCGGCTTGAAAAATCACCCTGGGGGGACCAGCAGTTAGCGTAATGGCTATGTCGCTGGACTCCCATGTAGTCGACCGCGGTTCATGTCCCGGACCCGGTGGCTTAAAACTCACGCCGGGCGCGTGTGCGTGCGTGCCCAAGATCCCGAGAGGAGAACGAAGGAGAAGTGATTGTGGCGTGGCCATCCCCCCGGAGGATGATTTCTCGCTTTCTGTCTCCTCTGTCTGTCTGGTGAGCTCACATGCCCTATAGCAAAAACCTCTCCAAAAAAAAAAATCACTCTGGGCACACACACGTATGTGAGTGCCCAAAATCCCGAGAGGAAAATGGAGGAGAGAGCATTGCAGTAGCCATCCCCTCACTTTCCCTGTCAGTGTTCTCTGTTTCTCTCCAGTGAGTGTGCATGCCCTATAGAAAAAAGGCAAAAATCTAAAAAAAAGAAAAAAAGAATTAAAGTTTATTTTGGTGTAAAAAAATTTTAAATCTATGTATGCTATGTATGTTTTTTTCATATTATGTATTTTCCATGAACTTTCTGAAGAACCCCCCCCACACACACAAGGGTAGATAGTGCCTAGCACATAAGAACTAGTAAGCCATTAGATATTACTGTTGTTGTTGGTTTAGTTAATACTACAGAAATATGTCTGCAATGAAAGTTTCTGTGATAAAGATCTTCCAAGTACATGAAGCCTTTAAAACAGAAAATCTCATTTTCCACTTTTCCCTTTACCCCCACTGCTCCCCA